TGTTGCTAGAAAATCGTGCAGGAATGATATGCTTCAGCTGCAGAATCCTTAAGGTATTTTACTTACTTACTTGCTTACTTATTTATTTCAGTGTGTCAAAGCTTTTTGACACAAATATATTTATTTTCTGGGAGTGAAATATTTTATCTTCCTGTTTATAAATATAAATATATCTGAAAGGGTTAACAGCCTTATTCTCGATTGCAAAGTACAATATTGCCATTATCCCAAGGGCTATGAAAGATGCATTAGAGTTCAGGGCAAAATAAACTCTTTACTTTCCCACTTGTAGTATTCCCACTGTAGCACTATATGCCAAGTCAGGTGCATGGCATATAGGTCTTTGTTTATAGGCTGAGTCAGCAGTGAACATGGGTCAGAGTCTACACGCATCATGATGTAACCTGCTCCCTAAAGGGTGGAGCTTACAGTGAGATTTGAAAGGGACAAAAATTGCAAAGACTGCAGAAACGACTGGGATGAGTTCATATGTTCCTCTAGTTAACTTTTATTTAGTCACTATTTGAGGAACCCTATTTGAGGAATCCAAAATTAAAGGATAAGCCTGTTTTGGGACTTGTTTGGCTAATTCCTATTTCATTTTTAATATTTTTTTCATGTGTTTTTTTTTTTCTCTTGCTCTTCTGATTAAGTGGACATGGCATAAATCCAACCAGAAACAAGCCAAGAATCTGCAAAGACGCTATGCAACCTTATTTGTACATCACACTAACTTGCTGCTGCAATCACTATAATACAATAAGAACTGGCTAACCACAGCAGATTATTTCAAGCCAAAATCCGGTACTATGATCATGATTTAACACAAAGGTGACAATGCAACTAATAGCTTATTAACAAATAAGCGTGAAACAATAAAAGTTAAGTACAGTGAGCAAACTACTTTTTAAGACTTCCAGCTTTTTTTTCTTTTAATGGACCTCACAATGTGTCTTCAGATCTTAATTACTACTAGAAAACTTTATGATTATAAATAGAGGAAAATGAACAGATTTACCCATTTGTTGTTTCTGAAGAAACGCTAAATGAGTAGCTTATTTTTCTTTGTGTTACATTTTAATGATGTCTACATCTGGGTCGTGTCTTGAGTAGATGTAAATAAAATCATCTCATATATTAATAATTTAAGTCTGTTTATATTATATCACATTGTCATTATGTAGAAACACAGTTATAGTATCATTAATGAATGGTTGGGCTATTGGAATTTAATTCAAGAGTGTTTTAGAAAGCAGTGGTGAAATATAAAATTTGTTACTACCAGTTCTGTGGGTGTGGCTTGGTGGTGGTGTGGGTAATGTGACTAGATGGGTGTGGCCAACTTTTTTTTTTTTTTTTACTTTTAAAAGCCTTTTTTCGGCCAAAGAGGTTGTAGAAAAAAGGCTTTTAAAAGTAAAAAAAAAAGCCTCTGATGATCAGGCAACTCAGCTGGGATCATCAGAGCCTTTTAAAAGCATTTTAAAAGGTTGTAAAAAGGTTGTTAAAAATGCTTTTAAAAGGCTCTGATGATCCCAGCTGAGTTGCCTGATCATCAGAGGCTTTTTTTTTTTAACGTTTAGAAGCATTTTTTCTACAACCTCTTCGGCCAAAGAGGTTGTAGAAAAAATGCTTTTAAACATTAAAAAAAGCTTCTGATGATTGTGCAGCTCAGCTGGGCATGGGTGGGGGGGAAGGATTTTTGCTACCGGTTCTCCGAACTACCCGCCTCCATCGCTACCGGATCGGGCAATCTGGTCCGAACCGGGAGCATTTCACCCCTGCTAGAAAGGCCTCAAAGGATATTTTACTGGATTCTATATACAAAATAAAGTGTCTTTATTGTATTACTGTATTTCGCCGTATACTAATTATATAAATGTTCCTATGATTTCAAAAACATGGTTTAAACATTACAGGAATTTATCCTAATTTCCTTCTGTTAGGGGTGGAAGGGTGGAAGTGTCTCTCTGTCTTGATGAAGATGTCCTCTTCCAATGAAGTAGAAAATTCTGTAGACACAGTAATACCACTAAGGCAGTGGTGAAATCCATTTTTTTTTACTACTGGTTCTGTGGGCATGGCTTGGTGGGCGTGGCTTGGTGGGCGTGGCAGGGGAAGGATACTGCAAAATCTCCATTCCCACCCTACTCCAGGGGAAGGATATTGCAAAATCCCCATTCCCTCCCCACTCTGGAGTTAGCCAGAGATGGTATTTGCCGGTTCTCCAAACTACTCAAAATTTTTGCTACCGGTTCTCCGGAACCTGTCAGAACCTGCTGGATTTCACCCCTGCGCTAAGGAGACAGACTGAATCCAGAATCCCACCTGTGGTGGCAAACTGAGATAGCTTTGGGTCTGCAGAATTAAAAGCTGCTTCAGTCCCCTTCCAAACTAAAATACTTGCCCATCATAGTCTGAGAAATACCCATAGAAATGGAAAAATGCAGACAGAATTTCAGAAGAATACTGTACTTATCTTTCCACTCTCTGTCCTGGCTTTACAAATGGCAGAAGGTTAATTGGACATTTTCTATTCTATTTATGTTTGCACTGTCATTTAAGAATATCATTTTGCTGTACTATAATAAATGAATTAATGGTTTCATATGTTCCTGGAGTATTATAGTTTCTGAGCAATAAAATCAGAAAGAATAGCTTTTTGAAAGATAGCGTTTTCTTTATTACTATCCTTCTATTACACCTTTAAGATAGCACTTAGTACATTCTACAGTGCCATTTCACACTGGGTTTTTGAGCATTATGGTGAAGCCTCATGCGGTGAATATTAAATATTTAAATATTGTGTTTAAAGAAATCTTGTTAGATTTGCTGAAATGGCAGAGTGAGTCTAAGAATAAAATTCTCTCCCTTTTCAACCTTTAGCAAAGAAGTATCTTCTTCAACCTAGGGCCTTAGTTCAGAGATTATTCAAATTGAGAAGTATATTTAATTTATGATAGGCACACTCAAACTTTCTGTTATGCATAAAAATTTGTGGTGAATGGCAGAAGACAGTAGTGATCCACTTTCTGATATGCACTTGTTTATTTTTTGGTTGACTGCAAAAGTATTCAGCAAGCAATTATATTCTTTCAGGAAAAAGTATTTGGATTCAAATTACAACCCACAAGATCCCAACATTCCAAATACAACTTTTGAGGATATGACTACCTATTAACATCTATTTCTCAGAGATGATGACCTAACAGGTATACAGGTAATCCTCGACTTATAAACATTCATTTAGTGACTGTTTGAAGTTATAATGACATTGAAAAGTTGACTTACAACTCATCCTCACATTAATAACAGCATCTCTACATTCATGTTGTCAAAATTTATGTAAATGGCAACCTGCATCTGTTTACAACAGGGATACATGATAATCATTTGTGACCTTCCCAGTCAATTTATGACAAGTAAAGTCAATGGGGGAAGCTAGATTTACTTAACAACTGCAGAAATTTGCTTAACAGCAAAAAATAATAATAAAAAAATTTGGTGTGACTCACTTAACTGCCTTCATTAGCAACGGAAATTCTCTTCTCAATTGTGATCATAAGTCGAGGACTACCTGTAATTGTCAATACTAGTCAATAGTAAAAAATTATTTGTCCTATGCTATACACCAGGGTATCAAACCCGCTCGCATCGCAGGCCATATCATGACATATTGCAATGTTTTTTGCCTTTGTGGGCATGGCCTGTGCAGCCGGCAGTTTGACAGACCTTCTATACACAGTGAAATCCAATGTGGCATTGTACATCAGAAGGAGTTGCTACATGTATACAAAGGCCCTTCCATGCGTAAAGTCTGTCTCCTGGAAGGCACTGAATGCTTTAAGATTAAACCTGGATTTATCCTGAACATCTGCTTCCTCTTATACCAATTGTCAAGTGAGAAATGGTATTTTATAACTTGATCGCATCATGTTTTCCAATAGTATTTAACAAAAATGTATTAATTGTAAGCAGATACATAGGCATATCAAATAAGATAACTTCATATAGCTGAATTACTGTAAGTAATGAAATAAAATTGAAATACATCATAAAACAGTCAATATTAATTTACTGCAATCATTCAGTGCAACCTACTTTGAAATTTGAATTTTAGCCAGTAAATGTAAGGCACTTTGCAGTATGTACCATATTTTTCAGACTATAAGATGCATTCCCCCACCCCAAAAAAAACTGGGTGGAAATGTCTGTGTCTATGGGCCTGTTTTTGGCCTCCTGAACCCTCCGCGTGTCCTGTTTTTGCTTTCCCCAGCATCCAGAAGCACTCTGCAGGCATCGGGGAGACCGAAAACGGGAAGCGTGAAGAGCTCGGGAGGCCAAAAACAGTCCCGTTTTTAGCCTGCAGAGTGCTTTTGGATGCCGGGGAGAGCAAAAACGGGACGCGCAGAGGAAAAAAACTATTTTTTTCTTGTTTTCCTCCTCTAAACCTAGGTGCGTCTTATGGTCCAGTGTTTCTTATAATCTGAAAAATTATTTATTTTATTAAAGAAACATGAACATTGCTAAAATGCACATATTGTAAAAGGTTGAAAAAAAATTAAAGCATACACTTTTCAATAGCAAATGCTGCTGCTTCCCAGTGTAGCCAACAGATATCTGAAAGGCACATCAATTAACTGTTGGAAACTCTTTTACAGTCTGCATGCTAAGCTATTTATTTAAATTAGTGGCACCATGTTTGTATAGTCGTATAAAGAGAAAATACAATTCTAAGATATTTTGGCAAACACAGAAACTATTTTTGCTTGCTAGAAGAGGCAATTGTATAAATCAACAATACCAACACATCATGTCAATATCTATATCTATATCTATATCTATATCTATATCTATATCTATATCTATATCTATATCTATCTATATCTAGCTAGCTAGCTAGCTATCTTTATCAAAGCCCAACAAAAGTGTTGGTGAAATAAACTTTATATGGAATTGATTTTTATTAGCTAAAACTATTTGGCAATAATAATCTTAAGTACCTTTTTCTCCTTTCTGGCAATTCTTTTTTTGTACAACACATGTTCTTGTTTCGCTTGTATGTGGGCATAATTTGCCCTTTGTTGAAGGAAGTTGTAGGATTTCTCTGACCCTTGTTTCATTTCCCCTTTTGAAACCACATGCTTTTCCATTCTTTGTGCAAGGACTCCACTGGCTCCATTCATTAATTTTACAATGCACTGTAACAAAAACATGATATCAATAAATATTGGTGAATAACCAATGAGATACCCCCCTCTCAATGTACACCAGATATTTAATCTGTAAATTAAATATAGACAGGAAAAATCTCTCTATATAAATTTGTATCATCTTAAATTACTCCTTCTCAAGAGCCAAGAACATTTTTCATTTGCTCAAATATGGCTGCAGTTCTTATTTGTTCAAAGCTCATTTTCCCACTGGTGACATGCAACCTTTTTATAGCATCACCCAGCAATCACTGAAGTAATATAAAGTCTGTCCTTATCACAGTAAAGGATTTTATGGACCATAGAAGAGGCTGTAAGTCAGAGATTTTGAAACAAACAAAAATCTTGAACACAACCAGTGTTCTATCAATAGAGCTTTGTCTCTTAATCAGGAATTTCAGGACTTCTTTTTAACTAATATGTGGCCTGAAGAAGTTTGAACTCTGCTGACTATGAGTTACTAGTGGGGAAATGATCTAAAGACAATTTCATTGTCTTGTAAGAAATTGCATTGTGATTTCCGGAACTTTTGTATATACTGGGCAGTGAAAAAGCAGTACAATAAGTAGGATGAAAAGCAAAATAATGTGATGATGACTATATCATTGCATTGCACCAGCAAAGAGGCCTCTTAATTCAGCTAAAAATGTACCATGAAATTCTGGGCTGAAAATAATAATAAAATATTATATTCAAAACCACTCCTAGCATGGGTAAGGAGCAGAATATTTTGGGCAAATAATACTTCCTGTGGTTTTCAGTGGTTCTTTCACTTTAGTCCCTCTAGTTTAATCCCTCTAAAGTTCAAAATTATAAAATATAAAGAGGAACATCTTTTATTTTATAAAACATACTGTGTTTTATACTGAGGCTCTTTTCTGCTAACTTTAAGCTGCATGCCTTTACAGAGAGCCAACAGTAGCAAAACAGTATTCGCCTAGAATTGTTTACTGGATAAAGTTATTAGCATAAACAATTTATTTACCAATATCATTGCATTCCATAGTGTGATTGTTCGGTTCCAGCCAGTCAGGGCAGTTTTCAAGGCACTTTCCAAGGTGTAAGTAAAATCCATTTTTACATTTCGTACAGAAATTTTGATTAAAGCAGGCTTCACAATCAGCTTTACATTCTGAAGTACAAGAAATAACCAATCACTTCCTGGTCATATTCGATTCCCTACATAATACATCTGATTTACATAGAAAATGACTATGAGACATGGTTTCTGCTGTGTGGATCATTGTAGGAGGAAAATGGTAATAGTCTATTATTAAGATATATTACTATTAAATGCTCCCGGTTCGGACTGGATCGACCGATCCGGTAGCAAGGGAGGCAGGTGGTTTGGAGAACCGGTAGCAAAAATCCCTCCCCCCCCCCCACCATTGCCCAGCTGAGCCGTGCAATCATCAGAGGCTTTTTTTAATTATTTTTAAAAGCATTTTTTCTACAACCTCTTTGGCCGAAAAAATGCTTTTAAAAGTAAAAGAAAAAGCCTCTGATGATCGCGTGGTACAGCTGGGATCATCAGAGGCTTTTAAAAGCATTTTTTCTACAACCTCTTCGGCCGACGCCCACTCAGTCATATTAACCCCACCACCACCAAGCCACGCCCACAGAACCGGTAGTAAGAAATTTTACATTTCACCACTGTATTAAAGTATCTCTAGTAGAGTCTAATGTGTATTCAGGGGCTCATCTTCAGTCACCCCTGCAGTTGATACTGTTACTTATAATAAATCCTAAGAAACATCAAATTATGCCTTTTAATGAAACTTTATGAAACCTTATCAACTGGCTTTTTTCTAAAACTGGGTGCATGAAGACATAATTGAGTGATCAAACATCTCTGAAAGTTTACATTATCCTAATATATCTGAGAAAATCAGGGTTTGCATTTTGTCTTAGATTATGTATATTAATTTTTGATATTTTTAAAATGAACTTTCCTATAAAATTACACTGATGATGTTCCATGCATTATTTTAATTTGAGGAAGAACAGACATGTTCTTACTGTAAACCTCCCAGAGGCACTTAGGGGAGATGAGTGGCATAGAAATGTGATGAATGAATGAATGAAAGAAAGAAAGAGAAAGAGAAAGAGGAAGAGAAAAAGAAAAAGAAAAGAGAAAAACTGATGTGAATAAATACAGGGAAGATGAGATGGGTGAATTTCATTCTTTGGAAAGAAAATCCTATGCATGAATGACAAATTTAAGAAGGGTTTCCACATTTGTGTTATTTTGTAAAGGTAATATTTTATAAATTGTACATATTTATAAACCACCATAGGCTTTATGGTGTCAACAACTTAGAAATATTTTAATATTTTATCCCATTTCAATACATACACACACACACACACACACACACACATATATATATGCACATTAATTGTAAAATCTATGTTGTATTTTAGGATTTATTATAAGCAACAGTATCAACTTCAGGGATGACTGAAGATGAGCCCCTGAATACACATTAGACTCTACTAGAGATGGGATCCATAATGTAATAATAATAATATTATTTAATATTAACTCTTAGACATACTTTAATAGTAAATCTTAGATAGTAACTTATTAATGCTTAGGTCCTTGATTAGTACTTGAATTATTAAGTTTCCACTAATAATATCTTTGAAACATTGTATTTTAGATTCAGATTCTAAATAAACCTTGATTTATTGTTGTGATCAAGCTGACCCTGGAAGAGACACGGTATTTAATATGAGGATACTGAATAAATCAGGTGATACTTAAATCACAACAAATATATAGCACGAAGCTTATTGAAGTGAGCTCAAATGAGCAGTCATATTCTGCTATTATCTATCTGATATCATATCTGATCAATTTACCAGCAACTCATGGGGTTTTTTCTGCTTTCAAAGTTCAAAGCTTTCCAAATATTAAACAAAATTTAGAAAGCAATGGTTGCAACATTCTGTCAACTTACTCATACACTCATTTCGTTCTGGGGATCGTTGTCCAAAATACCCAGGAGGACAGGATGGAAGACACACCCCAATCTGTTTCATGCGAATCCTCTTCAGGAAAAAGAAGAGTCTAGGTTTACATGACATGCATCCATTGTATTCAGAACATGTTGCACATCCTCCTTGACAAGCTTGGCTCATATTGCGATGCACTAAGAAGAAAAATCACAAGTGTTATCATTAGTTATCAATATTATAGCTTTTTATTCATATTTCAAAATTTGTTTACTGTTATTAGTAAGTTTAATACAATGAATTTCAATGTCTTTACAAAAAGAAGAAAAACAGCAAAAATGCAGATATTTTGGTCCTAAGTCAGTGTTTTTGAAATAAATTGTATATTAGGTATAATGAGGTTTACTTTAGTTTCAATTTGTGTACAATATGTAGATTGCAGCTTCAATGGTATTCAGAAAATATGCATATTATTCATAAGTAGAAATGAATTCTATTGCATTGTCAGAGTATAGACTTAATTTTCCTCTCTTTATGTTTAACTTGGTTCCAGGAAATATACTGCTCAAAAAAATAAAGGGAACACAAGCAGAAGACATCCGAGATCTGAATGAATGAAATAGCCTTATTAAATACTTTGTTCTTTACATACAGTAGTTTATACACTGCTCAAACAACTAAAGGGAACACAAAACTATTGTATGTAACTTCCCAATCCTGATCTTATACCGCATGGTACCTGATCCACAATTGTATCTTGGTTTCAGTCCAGTAAGTTTAGCATTGGATTATAGCCATGATGGCGAACCTATGGCACATGTGCCCAAAGAGGCACATGAAGCCATGTCACCTGGCATGCGCGGCCTTACCTGTTTGTCTTCCGGGTTTCTGGCGCGCATGCAAGCATGATGATCAGCTGCACTGGTGCTGAAAACCGGTGGTGCATGTACGCCAGCCACCTGATTGTCGGGTGCGCATGCACGCCAGAACCCAAAAGTTTGGCTTTTCTGGAGCGCGATCCCTTTGCGTGCACAGCAGTGCCAAAAACCGGCCAGCGGATGCATACCAGCCAGCTGATTGTCAGGCACGCATGCACGCTAGAACCCGGAAGTTCGGCTTTTCAGAAGCGCAGCCCTGACAAGAGTGTGTGCACGTGACATTTCTGTATGACAGATTTGTCATCACTGGACTATAGCATTGGCTTTAGAATATATGGACTTATTTATTGCCATTAGCAAGGACTCAAAAATGATTCAGGCTACCAAGTATAAAACAATTATTTTTTAAATAAAGGTCTTCACAACTAATGAAATCAAAGTATTAATGTCATTCTAGGAGATGGAATAAAATTTGTTTTTTGTAGTTGAAATTTATCTCTGGTTCCGCCTGTATAAATTACCATGTGGAATTTGGTGTCATACAGTTCCGTCCACTGTAGAATAGTCTTTTCAAAACTTTAGTAGAGCTCTCTAAATCCTGCAAATATGAATTAACATCATAGTATTGAGATAGTAGCTAATTTACTGGTAACTTCAGCTGATAAATTATTCCATAATATTACTTTTTCACAAGATTGCCCAAAAGCTTATGTGGGCATAAGCACAGAATTTTCTATTAAAACAGAAAAATGAAGACTAAGGGACAACAGCCTTTTTTTCCCAAGAAGCCAACAAGAATTCTCCATGTAAAATCTTTTCTAGTTTATATGCCTTCAGCTACATGCAGCAAAAGGGTTTTAATTTAAACTTGAGTATCATGAATTAAACATTCATGGTTTGGGGATAGTAGTGCACAGTTATTATTAAATAACCGAATGGGTTATTTAATGAGTCACACCCCTACTTGCCCACCAAAATGAATTGGAGAGAAGGCAGTAGCTAAAAGTGGCCAATAAATGGTGGGCAGTACCCACCATTGTATTATCTATTTTACTGCTGCAAAAGTACAGCATCATGCAAACGACAAGACATAGGTGAAAATAAGATGAAAAAATCACTTAAGCTTCTGTTCCAAAAAGTATGAAAATAATTGACTCCAACTCTGGGCAGGAGATGACAGGAAGCCCTCTTGCAGAAATGTCCCTCAAGAACATTAATGGGACATGTGTGTATCTTTTATGAACTACCCTTAGTAAGAACGTATCCAATTAAAAATATTTTCTTATGATATATAATATACAATTGTTTTATGTAGTTATTAATTTGTAAACAAGAGATAATTTTTTTATCCTCCAATCTAAATTAGTAACCAACTATACATTACAAGCACAATGTTAAATTTGCAAGGAAATTTAGTATCAGGTAAAATATACATTCCAAGGTAAACTGGTCTTCTCATCATATGCCTTGAAACTTAAATTTGCTGAATACATGTGACAGAAACATGCAGTGCTCCAGAAGTTGCTGAACTACTTTCATTTAGCACCAGCCAAGATATCCAGTGGTGAAGGCTACACATTCCTTAGTTTGTCCTCATATTTTATTTTCCATTAGTAGTGTGAATGCAAAGATAAATTAAATGATTTCTAAAAGTATCGACTGAGAGGAAGAATATAAATCAGAGCTTTTCTGATTGTTTGATTTTCAATTTAGGACTTTATAAGCAGATTATATGAAAGAATTGGAGGAATTTAATTTCAGCAGCAAAACTTAATGCCATTTGGTTTTGACACTTAATCAATCCCTTATAGATAAAGGTTTTTGCCCTTTCACAAAAATGAGAGGATCACTTCAATTACACTTTAAAAAAGAATTTGCTATAATCTCAGATGTGATTCCCTTTTGTAGTGACCTCCTGGATTGGTCACCAGTATCTATAGCTGAGGTTAAAGATTTTATTGCCCAATTAAAACCAGGTAAATCATCTGGAGGTGATTACATTCCCTTGATTCATAAAGAAAAGCAAAGATTAGTGGGGCCTAGTTAACAATTGGTCTACGGAGTTGTTAATATATTTACACACATTAACAACACATCCAATTTCCATCTGATTGGAATCAGACTATTGTTGTACCATTGCACAAAAATAAAACAAATAGGCGTGACTCTACAAATGCAGGCCTATTAGTTAATTAAACACAGTAAGTAATCTTAATGCCAGATTTTTATAGCTAGAATTGGTAGACTGAGTACAAAATAAAAATATCATTATTGAAGAACAGGCTGGAAGAATGATCAGCATTAGATCAATATGTGGTTCTCCATCATTTAGCAGAGATGATAGAGAGAGATTCCTTTTTTGTAACTTCTGTTAATTTTAAGTCTGCTTTTGACCTAATACCAAGGGACAGTCTGTGGAGCAAGCGGAGACAGTCTAATATTGATAAAAGGCTGCTCCGACTTATTCAAACACTTTACTCAACTACTTTCCTGAGAATCTGATGTACTTCTTGGGAATATTTATTCAAAGCCATTCCAATTTATAGAGGGGTAAGAAAAGGTTACATATTAGCTTCATAACTTTTAAATCTATATTTAAGTTAAATAAACCAAGCACTTGCTGTTTTAGATCATCACCTAACTATTCTAGCTGATTGTGCAATTCCAGCATTACAGTATGCCAATGATGTAGTTATTATGTCTACTTCACAGGTGGGATTGAGAAAAGCACTTAGGGCTTAATCTGCACAGAACGAAAGCTATCAGCAAGCTATCAGAAAACCAAAGTTTTAACCAAATGTAAAATTCAGTCCATCATAAAATTCACAAATGGAATGCACATTGAGTAGGTGTGCACTTGTAAATATCTTAAACTGTAAATCCATACTTCTCTCTCCAGGAATGCTCTAATTTTTTTTATCAGATAAGTATCACACAGGGTACTCTATAGCTATTATGAGATATTACCACTCCAAAGGATCCCATTATATTGCTACAGTTTCAATGTTGTACTCAAACAAGAAGAAAGAAGAAGAAAATTCCAAGAAAATCCTTCTTTCCAAGAAGAAAGTCAATGAACTGACAGATCCTCCAATGAGGACAGATGAAAAGAAGGTGATAGACAGCAGAGAGAAAGCAGAACTGCTTAATTCCTTCTTTGTATCTCTTTTTACACAAAAAGAAAGATATAGCCTAACCTATCAAAAGCAGCACTGAGAGAGAAAGAACAGGTACACGCCAAAATAGATAAGGAAATAATAAGAGAATACCTATCTACCCTGTATGAATACAAATCACCTGGGCCAGATACTTTGCATCCTAGAATTCTGAAAGAGCTGGCAGACATAATCTTGGAGGCACTGAATGTAATCTTTCAAAGCTCCTGTAGCACAAGGGAACTACCAGGAAAAGAGTTGATGTGATACCAAGCTACAAAAAGAGGAAAAACTGGACTCAGAAAATTATAGGCCAAGTAGCTTGACATCAATACCTGGGAAAATCCTGGACAAGGAAATCAAGGGGAGGATTTGTGAACATCTTGAAATAAACAAGGTGATTTACTAGAGGCCAGCATTGATAAAAACACATCATGCCAGGCAAAACTTATATTCTTCTTTGATAAAGTGATTAAATTAGTGGATCAACGAAAAGCTACAGATATAGTATACTTAACTTTATTAAGGCATTTGACAAAGTAGACCACAGTCTACTTCTTAATAAGGTAGAAAAATGAGAAGTAGACAGAACCACTACCAGATGGATCCACAGTTGGCTGAGCAACCACACCCAGTGTGTAGACCTTAATGGAACTACATCTACATGGAAGGAAGCATGCAGTGGGGTAAACCAACTCAGTAGTCAAAGACAGAGCCTCATAAATGATCTAGATCAGGGCTATCAAACTCCCGGCCCATGGGCCAGATGCGTCACATGCTGGCCACCCCCACATCCGGTTTAGCGAAGGGGGAAAAAGTCCCGATATGTCATGTGATGCCACCATGATGATGTGAGTTTGACACCCTTGATCTAAATAAGGAGATAGAAGGGGAACTCATCAAATTTGCAAATGAAACCAAGTGTGTGAGTGTGTGTGTGTGTGGGATTGTTAACATTTTGGAATATAGATATAGAAGATTCAGAAAGTTCTTGACAGGCCTGAGCATTGGGCCCTGTCGAACAAGATGCAGTTCACTGGTGAGTAAGGTAAGGTCCTGCACTTAGACATGAAAAGCCAAATGCATAGGTACAAAATAGGTGGTACTTGACTCAAGTACCTGTGATAGAGAGGTCTAAGTAACTGTGATAGAGAGGTCTAAGTG